AAAAATAAGATGACGCAAAATATCTAGATGATCTATATAATTTTATTTCGAGATAACAGCGAACCTGGTTAACGATCAGTTTTACGTTTACTCGGAAAAAGGACTGATTTCGAGACCTATTAATTAAATATTTTTGTGTTTCTAAATCAAATTTTATCTACATAGAAAATATATGTTTTTATTATCTATATAAAAATAAGATGGCGCAAAAAATGTTATTTAAATAATCTATATAATTTTATTTCGAGATAACGAGACCTATTAATTAAATATCTTTGTGTTTCTAAATCCAATTTTATCTACATAGAAAAATATATGTTTTCATTATCTATATATAAAAATAAGATGACGCAAAATATCTAGATGATCTATATAATTTTATTTCGAGATAACAGCGAACCCTGGTTAACGATCAGTTTTACGTTTACTCGGAAAAATGAGGGATTTGGAGTCCTCCTCCAGAAATCTGTATGGACCTTGATGGTGACACGATACCTCGTGCGTCGAGCAGCCGCGAGAAGTACCCGTGTTTAGTGATTGTTAAGGCATTTACGATACCTAACGTACCCGATGTACGTGGGCGGGTAGGAACGTATCTCGTTGTTGTTCAGGCAGGACGTGACTTGTACGTGTACGTAACCGAGGGTGGAAAGGGAGATGGCGAAAGGAGCCCGAGACTATATTGTGGCGCGACGACCCACATTCCGTCGAATTTAATTTCATGCCTTATCTCCGGTAGCCTCGACGGTACAATGCCTCAACTGGGGCGGTCGCGGATCTCTTTCTCGCACGTGGAACCATCGCGCGCACACACACACACACACATATATACACACACACACACAGATACATGTGTATACACATACGTACGTACATATGCTGTTAACGGTGTCATACGCACACCATACTCTTCGCTCTTTACCTCGCACGTTCTATTTATACACGTGGTGCGTCTCTACAGTGTTCTACCTCAGACAGAAGATCTCTTGTTCTATCTCGTTCTTGTAATTGCCTGTCTTTTCTCTCTGTCTCTCTGGCTCTGCTTCCTTTTCGTGCTTTGAAAATAGATGCGACGTGATCATTTTTATTGCGCACGCAGACGCTATTTTTTTTATCTTCGCGATGTTACTCCCTAACGAAATTTAATTATGCCTTAATATATTTTTTAAATCTATATATTAATATATATATGTTAAATACAGGGTGTAGTTAAATGCGAAAAATTTAGATGTTCTTTGTCGAAAATTAAGGGGGGTTTCTTATATAAACGTATACTCTTATATCTTTCCCTCAAATTTTGGACAAATTAAAAAAATGAAACTTGGTGGATATTTTTCACTAATAAAAAGGATATTTATTATTATAATATTTTTTTATGTTCCTGTATCGTTACACTGAAAAAACTGACTAAATCAATACATTTTTGGCTCAGCACTGCCAAATAAATTTTATTTGAAATAAATAAATATGACAAATAAAAATATTTATTAATTTCAAATAAATATTTATTTGTTTTGAAAAGGATTTTCTTATATCAAATAAATTTTTAAATAAATAATTCATTTGGCAGTATTGAAATAAATACTTATTCGAATTAAATAATTTTTTTCAGTGTCTAAAGGGATGAAACCAAGAGCCTCTATAATTTAATTTTTCTTAAATTTAAAAAATATTTAGAGTATACGCGTTTATATAAAAAACTCCCCTTCATTTTCGACAAAGAATTATCTCCTAAAATATTTCGCGCTTATTTAGATACACTCTATAAAATATATATATATACAGAGTAATTCAGTAACTGTACCCTGAAGGCGAGACACTCTTCAGACAGAGCAAGCAGTTCATCTTCTCCCTCAGCAGAGAATCTCCCTTCCGTATCATTTTACGAAGACCTAATGCTCTTCACATCAATCTACATATACGCACTCTCTCCCTCATTTTCTCTCTCTCTCTTCCTCTTTCAGACGTCTGCCTATCGTGGCCCGGGATGCTGAAACCACCGACTTCTCCACTCGTGTCTCGCGCGCGAGAGTGCGCCTATTATGCGCACCCTGCATCTGATGTACGCGTTTCTCTCTGCAACGTAAGCGGAACGTAAGCGAGGGTCGATCGGCTATTTCTGCTTCTCCGACTCGCGTCGCGTTGACGATTGCTTTATCAGACGTAACGGGGACTGACTGACGGAACGGGGTGACTTCCATATATCGGCGGAATAAAAGCTATACCAACAGGGACAAACGAAACCCTGCTCTTCTCAGCTAACCCTTCGGTCGATGCATTTTCTTCCCGCTAACACATTTTTTGTATATAATTTTTTAACAAAATTTAAAAATAGGTAAATATTGTAGGCCAACTAAACGAGCAATTAAATAAGATCTAAAGATTTATTAATAATTAAATAATTAAATTCTCATTCCGTTAGAGAAACAATATACAGCGTAAACGTTTCGACTGCACTACAGTCTTTTTCAATACGTAAAAATCAAATATTAAAATACAAAGTCGAATATTAAAATACAAAGTTGGTTAAACATTAAATTACAAAGTTAATGAATGAGAATTTAATTATTTAATTATTAATAAATTTTTAGATCTTATTTAATTGCTCGTTTAGTTGGCCTACAATATTTACCTTTTTTTAAATTTTGTTAATTTATACGAGCCTTTCATTAATTAATTATAATTTTTTATTTATTTATTTTTATTTCAGACAATAAACGGGAAGGTCCCTCTAGCACATAAAACATGAATATGACAATTTATAGCAATAGTTGCCTAAATAAAACAAAAATACAAAGAAAGAAAATAAAAAGTTACAATAAGATCGCGATACAAACTTCAATAAAAAATACAAATCAAAATAATTGTATAATTAGACATATAATCGTAAAATTATATGTGAAATATGTCCATTTTTATACGAATTTATATATAAATTATAAGGGTTCATATATAATCATGTTAAATTATATATATTTATATGTATGAAGAAATACTTATTTATTATAAATATATATAAAAAACACACTTTTATCTAATTATGTATGAACATATTTTATATATAATTTTGCGAATATATGTGTATAGTTTTATATATTTCTATATAATTTTATATTGTTATATATAAAAAATTTTTTCCTGGGCTCTTTTCATCAGTATATGGATACCCGGGTTATCAATCGCATATTTTTGACGTTACAATGATTTCTTTACAGCTGCTGGGCGAACATTCTTTCCCATTGTATTTTAGGTTTTTTTGTAGACAAAGACCTTTTGTATTTTCAGGTATGAAAAGGACTAACAGAGCCAGGCGCAGATATTGAGCGCGATAAAATTGCTTTTAGATTCTTCTTTATTTATTTTGGATATAAAATAATTTTTAAAAAATCTATAAAAAGATTTTAAAACAATTTAAAATAGAATTCAAAAACAATTTTGTTTTATACCTAAAATAATCAAAGAAAAATTTCAAAACAATTTTGTTGCGCCTATAACTAGTTCTCAATAGCCCCTTTCATATACCTGATTTTGTATATCAGAACCCTAATCCGAGCAAACTTTCGAGAGGAATAAAATTTCGAGAGGAATAAAATTTCCGTAGAATTTTATCTGAAAACTTTAAGTCACGGAGATTTATCGAAGATCAATGAGAATCGCGAAAAAAGAGATGATGACGCCTCTCCTTTTTCCGAGAAACAGCATATGGTATTAAAGTCAAAGAAAATCTATTCCCGAGGCGGATTTCCACGTACCGGGACACACCATCTTACGCATTCACGTGTGTACACGTAGGTGTCTACGTGTGTTAACGTCACAAATAGTAGCCGGTGTTTGCGGAGACGCGTTAGAAATAACAAATCTATTGTCCATCCGCCGAGTAAATGTTTAGACGACGACGGTGTAGACGGCCGAGAGTGTTGATTATGTGCGTAGAAGGGGGTTGTTACACTGTAAAAAAATATGTAATATATTACACAAAAATATGTAAAATTACATAAATAATAAATGTAAAATTACATGATAAATAATGAAAAGGTAAAGATTTCTATTATTTATTGTGTAATTTTACACTTATTATTTATGTAATTTTACATATTTTTGTGTAATATATTACATATTTTTTTACAGTGTACGCAACCCTTCTTCGCGCACGAAAGTCGCATCCCCGCGCATAGATAGGCACGAAGACCATTAAGCAAGGTAACGAGCCAATTACCTCGGGAAGGAGCTATATTTGTCTCTGTGCGTCTAATCGTATCGCCGATGCATCTAATCGCGTCCTTATCTCGGTTACCTCCGATATCGCGTGCCGGAGGTCGAGAACCCCAGCCGCGTCGTCTCGGATTGAAATCCAGGATGAGGATGACGTTATGTAACAATGATATCGTGTCGTGCGTCTCAGTAATTGCATTTTCAATATTAAAAAGGAAATCGAAATTTCTCTCCTCCTTCCGCCTAATCCTCTTTGCAACAAAATTCATTTCTCGCAATAATTTAATAATAATAATCTTTATTTTTTTTTTTATTATAATTATCAATATAAATTATAATAAATATTTATATTGATGATTAGAATAAAAATTAATAATACAATTATTATTTAATTTTTCGCGAGAAGTAAATTGTATAAAAAAACTTATTATAATTATATACTTAATTTTTATTATAATAATTATTAATAAAATCATATAATAAAAATTAATAAAAATCAATAAATTTAATAATAATAATAATCTTTATTATTTTTAAATATAATTATCAATATAAATTATAATAAATATTTATATTGATGATTATAATAAAAATGAATAATACAATTATTATTTAATTTTTCGCGAGAAGTAAATTATATTTATTATAATTATCTACTTAATTTTTATTATAATAATTATTAATAAAATCATATAATAGAAATTAATAAAAATCATTAACGATAATAATAATAATTAAAATCTGGATTGAATCCACAAATTAAAAGATGCATAATTATTGTGACGCAGATCGGGCAGCCCCGCAGCGGATGGATGGCTTGACGACGGTAGGACGACGTTAGAACGTTACCGCTTGCGGCTGCAGCTGCGGCGGCGTGATCGGTCGCTGCACCTGCAGCTGCGGCGGCAGCAGCGACAGCAACGACGACGGCGACGACGTGGACGACGGCGACGAGGGCGACGGCGAATCGCGAGCTTAATCAGCGATGCAGAACGCCGGCGACAGCTATTATCAGAGGCCGCCGAGATGCTGTCCGGGCAGAAGCAGCGGCAGCAACAATAACAACAACAACAACGCGGTGCGAGGCGCGGAGCTGCTCTGCTGCTGCTGCAGCTGCAGCACCGCGACCTCCACGAGAACCCCGGGTCTGCTGGCGAGCCTCGGCGTGTGCGTGCTCGTTCTCGGCTACACCCTCCTCGGCGCGTTCGCCTTCATGGCCCTCGAGGGAGGCTTCAAATCGGTGAGTGACAACCCTCTTGATTAAATCGCGCGCGACGTCATTCTAATTAGTCGAGTCTAATTGGAAGGTTTGAGCGACATTTTTTCGATTTTAATCGCGATTCACTCATCTCGAACTGTCTAAGTTAGAATTATAATAAATTTCTTTATACAATTTATTTCTCGCAAAAATTAAATAATAATTATATTGTTAATTTTTATTATAATTTTATTAATATAAATATATATTTATTATAATTTATATTGATAATTATAATAAAAAATATAATAAAGATTAGTATTATTACTATATAAATTTATCGCGAGAAATATTATGAATTAATATTTTGAAATTTGAACATAGTTGAAGAAGAAATAATTGGAAGATGTGAGCAACATTTTTTCGATTTTAATCGCGATTTATTCATCTCAAACTGTCTAAGTTAGAATTATAATAAATTTCTTTATACAATTTATTTCTCGCAAAAATTAAATAATAATTATATTGTTAATTTTTATTATAATTATTAATATAAATATATATTTATTATAATTTATATTAATAATTATAATAAAAAAAAATAAAGATTAGTATTATTACTATATAAATTTATCGCGAGAAATATTATGAATTAATATTTTGAAATTTGAACATAGTTGAAGAAGAAGCAAAGTGTAATTATTATATAATTAAGGATATAATTATTCATGCAAAATTTTTTTGCGTTTAAAACAGGCGCGCTAATCAATATCAGAGAGCACTTCAAGCTTAATTGAAGTCATTTGGAGAAAAATTTGATTAACTGGAATTGAAACAACTAATTTGTTGTTGATGCAATTAACTCTCAAGTACCCTGATTTGTTAATCGCGCGCGACGTGATTCTAATTAATCGAGTTTGATTAGAAGATGTGGACGATGACATGTTTCAGTTTTAATCGCGATTCATCCATCCCGAACTGTCTAATCTTTTTTTCGTTCAATGGATTTAATATTTCGAAATTTAAACATAGTTGAAAAAGAAGCAAGGTGTAATTATTATATAATTAAGGATAATTATACATGCAAAATTTTTTTCACGTTTAACAGGCGCGCTAATCGATATCAGAAAGCGCTTCAAGCTTAATTGAAGTCATTTGGAGAAAAATTTGATTAACCGGAATTGAAACAGCTAATTTGCTGTTGATGCAATCAACTCTCTGATTCGCTAATCACGCGCATTGTGGATAATAAAATGAAAATACGATTTAAAAAAGTCTTAAAAAAAGAATAATTATGTCTTACTTTTTTTTAATGATGAATCTACTTTAAAAAAATATTTGTTGTGTGTAACGAATAAAGTTAATAAAATTCTCGTAATCAAAATATTGACTTTAATTATACTGCAAGAAGATTAAAATTACTTATTTACTGTTGAAGCTTATATTGGCTAATTGCTATATTTTATTCATCAATTTTAATAGAGAATTCGTATTCAAATAACGCGATAAATTCTGCATATAGATTTTTGTAATTTTTTATTTTTAATTTTAGCATCTAAATTGATTTTATTTTTCTTTTGTCTTTATTTAGAGATCTAAAAAGCGCTAAATTAAAAGAAATAAAGGAAAAATGTTTAGTAAACATTATTCAATTTAATTTTTTTTTTCAATTTCAACAACTCCTTGCAATAAATGGCAATATTTAATAGATTGAAAATTTTACTTCCTTAAAATATTTTTAAGATAATTAGAAAATTCTAACGATAAATTTAATTTGATTAAAATAATTATCTTTCAATCTGTCACAGATCTATCAACTGTAACAGGTGCATGATAAATTTTTCATTTCTTCAAATTTAATTTATTTAAAATTATTCAATATTGCATCGTGATGAATTATGCAGATCAGAGAATTGCATTTAAAAAAGTTACAAAAAAACATTTATCCTCTTTTCTTGGGATTTGAGAGAATAAGTGATGATTGAATCGCGATAATCGGATCCATCTGTCACTTTCACGAATTTTTCAGGATTCACCCACCGAGATCGCGTCCTCGAAACCCGACGGTGGTGGTTCCTACGTGTTGCCGAATCTGGAAAACGATTCCGCCGCCATGGAATTGAGGGCGCGCACGGTCGAGAAACTTTGGAGCATCACCGAGGATCTCAACGTTCTCTACAAGGAGAACTGGACCCGCCTGGCCGCCCGGGAGGTCCTCGAGTTTCAGGAGAACCTGGCCCGCGGGCTCAGACGCACCTCGTACGAGCAGGTGCCGCCCTTATCACCGCGATCACGGGAACATCACGCGGACAGACGCCTGCATGGTCGACGATGGACCTTCAGCGGTAGCTTGCTGTACTCCCTCACGCTGATCACGACCATAGGTTTGTCAAAAATTCAATTCCATGTTCTTTTATTCGGACAACGAAAAATTATCCCATTCTCGCACATATGGTTACACAATATCGTTCGTATTTGCAAGTCTGGTAAAAAAAGCCGACATTTTCAGGCTATTTTTCTTCAACAAAATGTATAATTTTATAAATTTATCTTGTATTTAATATCAAATGCATTTTAATCCCTCTATCAATGAACGGGCACCCAAAGCAATTTTAAATGTTAAAAATGCGTCGAAACTTTTCTCTGAAATAAAATACAAAGGGTCTTTGTATTCGAAAACCCACTAAAATATAATGGGAAAATATGCTCAATGCCCAGCAGCTACCATAAAAAAATTGTCGCAATGCGGTGTGTTGAAAACACGCAGTTGATACCCATACATTAATGAAAAAGTGAAAAATTATGCATTGACAGAAGGATAAAGAATTAGCGATTGAAACGGCAACTGATTATTTGCATTGTCAGTGTCCATAACTCACTGTTTATAGCTAAACTTATAACCGAACAGCATCACTACTTATCAGTGACATCTAAATAAAATTATATAAATAATTATCCAGAAATTTTGGCGTCATCTTATACCTGCATCTTAGGTGAAAAAAAGTATTATTTTTATTAAATTATCTAGAATAAAATATTTAGATAATTTAGTTTAGAGCTATAACACATAAAAATACTAAAGTATTTATATTAAATAGTAGAACTTAAACATAGTAAGCGATATTATAAAAATTACAAATAAAATATATTTTTATATCCCTTTTAATAACTGCGTTTACATAAGCGGTCAAAAAAATAATATTATCTGAAAGTTATCTAGATGAATCGTCATATATCATTTGACCTATATATTCAAAACAAAATCATTTTTATCTTATTTAAGATAAATTAGACAACACAAGCGCGCTCCGAACTCATTTCTATTGTTTATTCTACAACTGTCAAATTGTTAATCTTCGCAATGACAGTTGCTTGATGCTATGATCATAATTTTAATTCACCGAATTTCTATTATGTACATAATTTTAATTCCCGAATTTCTATTATGTATATAATATTAATTTGTTGAATTTCTATTATGTATATAATTTTAATTTGCCGAATTTCTGTTGTATTGTTTGAGAACTATTTTGTATATATGTATCTCTTTATATATTTTTTTCTCATTTTGTTTAGTTTAATCGAATATAATTATTATACGTGCGCAATTACATGATTTAGAAAAATTCAATATTTAAATCTTTAACAGAAAATACGAATAAAGAAAATAAATTTTTTACAAAAATCTTTTGTAATCAAATATCTACAGCTTTTATTAGATCCGCGAAACTCTATACCCCATATATCCGTCACGCTGCGCGGCTGGCGCGAAACTGATTCTCATGCGAGGTATCGCGAGCGCGGGACCGATGGTCACATGACCTGCGGTCACGTGACCAGTGGACCCGCTAGTCACGTGATTTCGGCTTCGCGCTCGCGATACCTCGCATGAGAATCAGTCGCGCGCGAACCGCGCAACGTGACAGATATAGGGGGTGTGAGATTTCGCGTCTAATAAAAGCGTAGATATTTTATCACAAAAGATTCTTGTAGAAAAAATTATTTCTTTGTTCGTATTTCCTGTTAAAGATTTAAATATTAAATTTTTATGCGTTGGATAATTAATATATTTTTTATTCATTGATTGCAATAATAATTTTTGAATGCATGCGTAATTTTTGATATTTTATTATCAAAGAATAATATAACTTTGCTTTGCGTGCGTAATTATATTCGGTTAGATTAAACGAAATTATATATACATATATGCTACATAAATTTAATATTTATAAGCAGATTTGTCAGTACAATAGGAAGTTACAAGTCAAAGTAATTGTGTCAACTCATAAATCAAACTCAGTTTTGTTATCAAGTTTAATTATGATAACAAATTACTGTTAGTATATAGTAAATTGATAGTAGAATAACTAGTACAAATTTGAGAAATACAATTCAATAATTTTCATTAAATAATAATGCAGGTATAATTAATGCTACAGTACATTATATTAAACAGTTATAGTTTAATTTTATATTCTAATATATATTTTAATTTTAATTCTAGAATATCTATTACGTACATAATTGTAATTTGCCAAATTTTAATTATGTATATAATTTTAATTTCTGAATTTTTGTTATGTACGAGACAACACAAGCGCGTGCTATTGATATTATTTTTATTTTCTATTTTACAACTATTAACATTCACGATAGCAGTTGTTTGATGCTATTATAATATAACACACAATGTTAATCGAGATAATCAATTAATATCGCGGAAAAGCGGCAACAATACTTGCGAGACATCGACTTTACATGCCTTTTTTAGAAAGGGATTAACATATTTTCATCCTATCTTTATCTAGCTAATTTTAAAATTAGGGTTGGGTAAGTTAATAATTTTTTAAAATTAAATTAAGTTAAAGTTGCTTATAAAATTAATTTAGTTAAGTTAAACGTTGCATGAACAAAAACTTAACTCAGTTAAAGTTAAGCTAAGATTAAATTAACTAAAGTTAAATTAAAAGTTAATTTTTAAAAACATTTATATTAAACTACAATTTTGTTTATTAATTCTTTTAAAATATTATAACTTGTAAAAAAAACAATAATAGTATTCAGAGATATTTAACTATAGAAATTAATTTTTATTCAATTAGCTTTTTAACTTTTAAATTAATAATTAACTAGTTATTATCCAACCCTGTTTAAAATCATCTAAGCACAAAACTGGTGGCACCACGACTTGAAGGGTCTAATTCCGGTTCCGGTTTCAGGATACGGTAGCGTTGCGCCGCGCACAGTCTGGGGCCGGCTGATCACCATAGTCTACGCCCTGGCGGGGATCCCGCTGATGCTGGTCTACCTCAGCACGGTGGGCGACGTGCTCGCCCGCAGCTTTCGTCGTCTTTACGGCCGAATGTGCAGGAGGCCGCGCAACTGCACGCGGAAGCGACAACCGCCGCCGCCTCCGCCGCCGGTCGGCGGCATAATGACCAAGGCGTATCGCTACGACAATCACGTGGAGACCAAGGGTGGCGGCAACTACTACTCGGCGAGCAGGGAGAGCTCCTGCGACGATCTGGGTATCCGCGGCGCCGGCAGCGCGATTCTCCTCGACTGTGGCAGCGAGGGTCTCCTACACGCCACCACCAGCTCCACGGCCGCACTTCAGGTATCGTTAGATAATCATCGAAAGGAGAAAGAGAGATTTTTATACGGTGATTTCTTCACTGGAAAACAATTTTATTGTATTGACCAAAATTTTGTTTGTAAATCGACGATACAGAATTCTGGTCAAATCGATCTCAGAGTTCTTTTTAATGCAACAACAATCTGGTTTGCACAGACAATCGATTTGTTGTGCAAACAAGATGCTTGTTGCATTAAAAGGAATTCTAGTCGATGGTTGTTCCAACTCTTGGTAAGTTTTATACCCGACAAGTAACATATCGTTGACTCTTTTTTTAGAATTTATCTGAAAAGAGACGAAAATATGCTACCTGTTTAATGAGTTACTTTTTAATTTTAATTACAGGAGAGAAATATTACAAAAAAATATGAGAAAATATAAAATAAAACTTTTCAAAATTTAAATGGAATATGTAGATTAATGTAGAATAATATAGTATCGGAAGAGGTAGCGTTATTTATTCTCCCTAAATTGTATAATTTGCAGAAAAGAAAATTGCGGTAACTTTTAAACTTCAAAAACTCGGTACAGGCCGATTTAGCATATAAATTACCAACGAAGGTACGAACTGTGAGCTTCTAATGAGTAAACTAACTAAGCGGATCAAGAGTTTACATCAGTCTCTAATGAAGCGTAGGGCTTAATTGCTGAGGAACTCATAAATTTGTCGACTTATAGAAGATCCATTTCGGGTTTGATAAATTTCTTACCATTCTTGGGAAGAAACCTGCCTAGAAATTCCAAAAAAAAGCAATATCTCTCTTTCTTCTTATCCATGTTACACCAAAATTCTTTATCATGTAAATTGTTTATTACATTAATATATTCAATGATTTCTTAAATATCTATTGGAATCATCATCAGGATATTTTAACGAGAAGCTTGCCTAGAAATTCCAAAAGAAAAGCAATATCTCTCTTTCTCCTCATCCATGTTACACCAAAATTCTTTATCATGTAAATTGTTTATTACATTAATATATTCAATGATTTCTTAAATATCTATTGGAATCATCATCAGGATATTTTAACGAGAAGCCGGTTAGAAATTCCAAAAGAAAAGCATTATCTCTCTTTCTCCTTCTCCATGTTACACCAAAATTCTTTATCATATAAATCGTCCGTTACATTAATATATTAAATGATTTCTTAAATATCTATTGGAATCATCATCAGAATATTTTAACGAGAAGCCTGCCTAGAAATTCCAAAAGAAAAGCAATATCTCTCTTTCTCCTTCTTCATGTTACACAAAAATTCTTTAACATATAAATCGTTCGTTAATACATTAATATGAATGATTTCTGAAATATCTATTGGAATCATCATCGGAATATTTTAACGAGAAGATTAGAAATTCCAAAAGAAAAGCAATATTTCTCTTTCTCCTTCTCCATGTTACACAAAAATTCTTTAACATATAAATCGTTCGTTAATACATTAATATGAATGATTTCTTAAATATCTATTGGAATCATCATCGGAATATTTTAACGAGAAGATTAGAAATTCCAAAAGAAAAGCAATATTTCTCTTTCATCTTCTCCATGTTACACAAAAATTCTTTAACATATAAATCGTTCGTTAATACATTAATATGAATGATTTCTGAAATATCTATTGGAATCATCATCGGAATATTTTAACGAGAAGCCTGGTTAGAAATTCCAAAAGAAAAGCAATATCTTTCCTTTTTCTTCTCTATGTTACACAAAAATTCTTTAACATATAAATCGTTCGTTAATACATTAATATGAATGATTTCTTAAATATCTATTGGAATCATCATCAGGATATTTGAAAGGGTTGAAGCCTGTCTGGCAATGAAAGAAAAAGCAATATCTCTGTTTCTCCTTCTCCATGTTACACCAAAATTCTTTATCATATAAATCGTTCGTTAATACATTAATATAAATGATTTCTGAAATATCTATTGGAATCATCATCAGAATATTTTAACGAGAAGCCTGCCTAGAAACTCCAAAAGAAAAGCAATATCTCTGTTCCTCCTTCTCCATGTTACACCAAAATTCTTTATCATATAAATCGTTCGTTAATACATTAATATACTAAATGATTTCTGAAATACCTATTGGAATCGTCATCAGGATATTTCGACGGGTAACGGGAAGCGGCATTTTCACCCGTGCTCGTTGTCCTTATCGTCGACCTCGTCGCCGGCGTACATGTTGGAGACGAACCCGGTGAGGATACCGATCAGTCTGTGCCTGGCGATAATGCTGGTGTACATATGCGGCGGCGCGGTGATGTTCAACCGTCTGGAGGGCTGGAGCCTGCTGGAGGGCGGCTACTTCTGCTTCACCAGCCTCGGCACGATCGGCTTCGGCGACCTGATGCCGGTGGGACGCAACGCCGCCTCGGCCACCCTGGAGGAGCTCAGCCTGTGCGCCTGCTCGCTCTACATCCTCGCCGGGATGGGCCTGATCGCCATGTGCTTCAACCTCGTCCAGGAGGAGGTGGTACGCGTGGTCAGGGTCTTCGGTAGAACCTGCGGCATGTCGTCGGGCGTGGTGATCGGACCTATCGGTGGTACAGGTATCCCTGATGAAGGCATTCGGTGGGGAATCGGTAGCGAGGGTCTCCCGCAAGAAAGAAAAATCGTCGTGAAAAAAAAATCGCTGATCCTTTTTTTGTCGACCGTCGTGCGTCGATTCCAAAAAAGAAAGAAAGAAAGAAAAAAAAAAAAAAAAGAAACACGCACGCGACATTTTCATCCATTCATGAATTCGATACACCTGCCGATACGTACCCAACGATCGGGCATGATTCATATCGCGAGAATGCGTAAATAAGGGTTTTCAACGTACCGTAAAAGAAAAAGTTACCGTCGTTATGCCGTCATGTCAATCCTATTTCCGCACAGAAGCATGAAAATCGCCGAGGCGATTGACTGTCACGAGACACGCGTCAGGATCTCTTTCCTTTTGTTTGCAGCAGGCGCCGTTCCCGGTCTCAAGGCCGACCTCGACGACGGAGGTGGTACCAGCGACTCGCGACTGTCCGAGCAAGAGGAGGAGGCGATCGCCATGTCGATGGTGCCGGCCGGATCCTGACAGCATCAGGCCAGGAGCCCCGGCGACGGCAAGCTCCTGGCCCATCCGTCTAACACTGCCATAAAGTTGTCGCCCGGCCATCACACGCTGCCGCGGAAGAAGACGTTGCCGTTGGACGTCGCGGCCAGGACGACGACGAGCAACGTCGTCGCACCTTCGGGCGCCAACGTTCAGCAACAGCAGCAGTTCCAACGGGGCCAGCCATTAAGAAGAAGCTGCCTGTCGCCGACGCAGCATCATCATCACCAGCAGCAGCAACAGCCGCCGCATCATCACCCGCAACACTGTCAGCAGGAGAGCTCGTTGCACTTCGAGTACTTTGTACCGCGCAGCGTCAGCGAGTTCAACCTTGCAGCCGCCGTGACGGACATGGCGGTACCACCTCCGCCACCTGCGTCAGTCCTCAGACCATCCTCGGCGATGACGCCGCCGGTCGCCTCCGGGTTGCCCGTTGTCGCCACCAGCCAGACGAGGCTGCTGGACGCGGGTGGTTGCAACACCGCGACGAGAAGCCGCGAGAAAATGGTGACGTTCGAGGACGAGGGTCTCGGCGTTACCTCCACGCCCACCAGGAAGAATTTGCCTGCCCTGGACAACGTCTTCATGTGACGTGTGCCGCGACTTGCACGGATGATGAAGCGGTTGCTGCTGAAGGCGAGGGCGCGTTTCGCATCGATGGGGTGATCGTTGACACGTCAATTGACATCGTCGTTAGTTTATGGGAGGAGCTGAGAGTTATAGGATCCAAAAGTGGTTTTTTTTTTTTTTAAGGAACAAACTCGACGGACTCACTAAACGGTGGACTTAGGATTGATATTAAGAACCGAAGGGAGCTGTTAGAGCTCTTATTATTCGGGGAATAATCGAGACGTTTTTTTGGAACACAGATATTCTCCAAACGCACGGATAAAGAATAGATCGATTGATACCAAGAAACTGAAACTACGCGATACTATATCCGATTATATCGCGGATCGACGCGGTTGTATTGTGTCGGGCTAATTAATGAGTCCAGGAGTGAGGACTTAATGGAAAAGAAATTGTTTACGAATATAGGGATAGGGAAAAAGATATCGACTCTCTCTTACGATAATTGCATTTCTGTACAATGCGCATGGAAACTGACGTAGGAAATATTTGGAATACAACACGAAAAAAATGGGAAAGTGTATAGAGGCTGCTAAACAAGTAACAATTCCGAACAGAATACAATAATCGGGAAATACTTTGTACACAAATAGAATTTCTATCAGAAGCGTCTGTCACCTAAGATGCAACAATTTCTTGGCACTAAAGATGTTTTTCTTATCACCCGACATTAGTGCCTAAATGACATCCTACTATTCTGAAGAAGGCATCTTTAAAAGAAACCTTCCAATCCCTCAGATATTCTTTGGATTTTTTTTTAGATATTTTTTTCGAGACACTTGCGTTGTCTTGGAATTATTTTTACGTCCAATAGATTTTTTTACGATGTGCGACGTAATCTCCATTAAAAGTTCTCCATTCGCGACGCGTCAGAAACTGTACAAAATCGACGAATGTCAAAAGACAAGAAAGGAAGAATGACAGGTGAAAAATTAAAATGTCACGCAATCGACAGAAAAGAATTTTCCGCGTTAGCGAAAATTCCCCTTCCCTCTTTTCCTACTCTTCTCGGCCGGAATGTCGAATGTATATTTCTTATAATCGCGATTAAGCCGTAATTATCGTTATTATACCACTTGCGCACAGCGTAGGGGATATCTGTCGAGTATCCGAATTTTATGTCCGATAAGTCCGATTGTGTATTCCGAATGTTACATGAATAGTTTGTATATATATTCGAAAAGTATATATTGAACATTTTAACTTATACGACTATCCTATTATATATCAAATAAATAAACAAAGTTATATATATATATATATATATATATATATAATATTATATATGTATATTATATTGAGTTGCTATACTGCGTACTTCACTTTTTCCTTCAATTTTCGAACATTCAAATTATTCGATTTCGCGTTATTCTATATTTAGTAATAAAGTTAAAATGAATTTTTCTTTTATCTTACAATTAAGTCTCAATTATTTTAAAGAATAATAATATTTACAGATATAATTTTTAAAATTGACAATGACATAGCAAAAAAATGGGATTAAAGGTTAACGTGCTGATATAATGCCCAAGCTGAAAATAATAAAATTAATAATGTAAAACAATGTGAAAGCAATGATGCTTAAAAATTTGGAAGATGAAATTTAAAAAAGAAGTTTGAAACTTGAGGAAACAAAGATGAACATAAGCTTAAAAAGAAGATTACATTGGAAAATGATGCAAAAATATCCAAATTCTTTTTGTTTAAGAAAAAGATCAATAATTTGCTGAACATTTTAATTATATAAAATGTTTTTATTAAAATGTTTGGAACTTATAAAGTCGTGTCTTTTGATCTTATGTACCTTTTTTTAAAAATCGTTGCTCCAATTATCTTTTTATTCTGTTCAGAAATGAGTACACTATGATTAATTGCGTTTAAAGAAATTGTAGTTTTACAAAAATTACAAAAAGCCACAGTTGTCAATAAGATAAACTTTGTACAAAATTTATAATGAAAATTAGAAATGCACTTACTTAACAAAAAGCATTAATCGAAATGTAGCTGAATGTATGAAAAAGAAAGTGAAAAAATATAATTTATATAAATGTTAATTCAGTATTATCTTTATACATAAAGATAAATAATTTTGTTAAATAATTTTTCGCAATCTCTTCTTTTTAATAAAATTTAACATGACTAAGGTAATAAAAAAATAAAAATAAATAAAATGAAAAACAATTTAAAGGAAATTATGGAGAGTTTCGCCGAATAAAAGAAAAGTGAAGAAGAACGAGTGACAAGAGGTAAGGAATTGAAGTTGACAGTTTTCTTTTACAGCGGAATATGAAAAGGATTTTTGAAATTTGAAAAATATTGCAATTGTACATTATTTGTAAACAAACATTTTTGATGACTTTAATATATCGTAAAAATATAGATTAATATATTAATATATATTAAAAATTATTATTATTAATTCCCAATATTGATTAACATATGCCATATGCTTTTATTGTGTTGAAAAAATTGACGATCTCGTATAATTAATATTAATGTAATTCACATAAAAGTGCGTTAAGGATGCATCTACATGGATTTGCATGAGCTTTCCGCGCGAAGTGAGATTTACCTCATCCTCGCATCATTTGAGGCTTTTAGGGCGAAACGAAATCTATAATTATGCAATTCTACATAGGTTTACAACTTTTCGAAGCAAAGCAAAGTTTGCTCTCCATACACCGACCGGTGCTTTCGGTGCGCAAAACGAGATCTATAATGCGGTTCCACGTGAGTTTCTACAACTTTCCGCGCGAAACGAAGTCCACATTCCACAATCCATCGCCTGGTGCTTTTGATACAAAACTAAGTCTATATAGTTCCACGTAGAAGCTTTACAACTTTCCACGAAGTGAGATCTTGCTATTTTATCGGTTCAAAATACCGTGCGATAAAAGATAAATCTTGCTTCACGCAAGAAGTTGCATCAAGCAAAACAAGTTGTTCATGTAAAAATAATTAATAAAAATAATGAATGAAAATAAATCGTATATATATTATACCTATTTCACTCTGCATCCAAAGCTCTAAATTAAAATTTATCCAAAAGTATACTTCGATCACAGTTTCTAATATAAAATATTTTAATCTAAAATTTAATGATGCTAGACGACAATTTTTCTAATCTAATCATAGACTATGCACAAGTGTATGCCTTCATGTTGGTCGTATAACTGCTAAACAATTATTTTTTCTTCAGCGTAAATGTTAAACTGTGAATAAATAAAATAAATAAATAAATAAAACAGATCTTTAAATAATGTTAAAATATTAACTAATTTCCAAAAATAAATATAATATTTATGCAGGTAACATCAAGAACTTCTGTGATTATATAATATTAAAGTCTAATTAACAATTTTATTATTAAAAACTTCTCCAGTATATATACATATATATATATATATATTGTATAAGAATGTAAATGTCAAGTGTGTGTATTTCTGTGTGTGTGTGTGTGTGTGTATATAATCCGCAGTTTAAACAAATTTTAAATTGTAAACAACAGATTTAAATTGTATGCTTTAACACCATTTTCACAGGTGATTGTTGACAAAAGAACAAGACTTAATAACTAATCAAATTTCTAATATTCATATTTTTAAAAATATTTTCATTACAGTTTATTATGCAGAAAATATTCGTCAATAGTAATACAAATAGCGAAAAAAAGTAGTACTTCATAAAAATACATGCCCATTAAAACGCAAGATTTTCGCAAAATTGTGCACATTAATCAATTACAAATTAATATTCATAGTGTATATTAATCAATACAATATGCAAAAAAATCACAACACATATACTACTAGTACAAATTATACATATTTAGATATTGTTAATATTGCTACATATATTTTACGATATAAGCATAAATATTTTATTTAACTCAAACAAAAAATAAAATTTAATTTTGATTACTATATGTTAGAAAATAGAGAATTAGTTTATTTTCTCTTCAAATTTTCATATTTCGAAAAAAGCAAAACTGCGTAATTAAAATATTAATTATAATATTATTGAAAATAATCCCGTAATAAATAAATAAAATTAAATTACTATATACGTTTTTTAGCAGTAATTTACTTTTATTTTTAAATTTATTGTTATTACACAAATTGTTCATGATATATTAAAATTATACAATTTTACTAATTTCCAAACTTATATATTTGAGGGAAGAACACGTGCGCACAAAAGTATTTACTGAATGATGTTAACTTGTTCATATAATAACAATTATTTTATCTTAAAGATTTAATTTAATTATAATTTTCTTATAAGTCATATTTTTAAATACTGTTACGATATATATATATATATATATATATATATATATATATAGAAATATATATATATATATATAGAACAAGAACGAGTATATATATATATATATATATATAGAACAATATTGCAATATATTTTAACAACACAATATTGTAATTTATATTTGTACACTGATAATTAAATAGAATAAAAAATTTTTATGTAAAAATGTTGAAATTATAATCATTTTTCAAGTTACGAGCGCTCTTGTTATTTAATTATGTGTAATACTATATTTTATATCATAGCATAACCTATTGATATTTAATTATTAATTATTAAAAAGTTTTATAATATAAATGTGATATATTCGATTATTACGAGTATATAAATGATATAAGAAAAATGATGTAATTAATTAATTACTTATAACAATTTAGTAATATATAGTTTTTCTATTTAATCTTTAAGTTAAATCTGGATTTGAAAAACAAAATTTAATTTTTGATAAGAAAATGATAATTATTTTACTACTGCTCTTTTCCAAATTTTTAGATTCGACCAACGCAAAACCGTGTAATTATAATATTAAAATATAAATAAATTACCACTTTTTTAGTAGAAATTTATTTTTATTTTTTTGATATATATTAAATTTACACAAAATACTTTTTATTTATTACAATCATAATCTCGCTGATTTTGAAATGTAACATTTTGGAATAAATCTTGAAATAGGTACAATATTAATCTTAAAATATAAATTAATTTAAATTTTTAAAAATTAAAGTAATTAATTAATTACTCGATATTTTAAATAAATTTTTTATTTAATATTTTTAAAATAGATTTTAATTATATCACAAATAAATTTTATTTCTATATTTTGAATTAATTAAAATCATTTTAAAGGAATCAAAAATATTAAAAAAAATTTCCAAAAAAAGAAACGCTTTGTCAGAACAACTTGAAATTGAAAAATTAAAATATTTTAGTATCGCTAATAAATTAATAACAGGATAAGTTATATAAAAAAATCTTTATGTAAAAATGCCTGCCAAACTTGGCCGTTGCTAGCCAAACTTGGTTTATTCAAATCACAGCAACCACTCAACACATTCGAGTTGACAAATTATTAGCATCCTCGTCGCACATTAAAAAGAAAGAGAACGTCGTGTCAGTATAACATTTCGTCTAGGAAAAGATTCCACTTTCGAATGCAAGCACGTCCATTACTGGCAGTGCAGAATTAACATCATTACTAAAGAATAAATAAGACCAAGGAACGGACGTTATCACGTCTAACTCCATCTTTCCACCATGGGTGAGATTGAAAAGCAGCCGGAACCACATCGCAAACAAAGTGACAGGAACTATAAAATGGTTCAATGTCAAGAGTGGATATGGATTCATTAATAGAAATGATACCAAGGAACATGTATTTGTTCATTGGTCAGTCATTGTTAAGAATAATTCAAGGAAGCCTGTGCGTAGTGTCGAAGATGGCGAGGTTGTGCAGAATTAACATCATTACTAAAGAATAAATAAGACCAAGGAACGGACGTTATCACGTCTAACTCCATCTTTCCACCATGGGTGAGACTGAAAAGCAGCCGGAACCACATCGCAAACGAAGTGACAGGAACTATAAAATGGTTCAATGTCAAGAGTGAATATGGATTCATTAACCCCTTAGCAGTGAGGCGAAAATAAGCTTTTCGTGCCATTTTTGTCTTGGAAAAAAATTTTCATTGATTTATCCTATAGTTCTAGTATTATGGTTTTTGAGGTCGTTGAATCCGAATCTGAAATCGGATTTCCAAAATTTGAAATAGCGGATGCAAAGGACCAGGCTCGATTTGGCCGATTTTCGGCCCCCAACCGATTCAATTGATTTTCATTGGAATATCTTCTAGGGTCAGTAAGATATGAGAAAACATGATTTCCGATCGAAAAAATAACGTTACATGGAAGGGGGAGTGTCTAATGTACCAAAATGTTGATATCAATAGTCTATAAAAAATCGTTTGAATCCGGTTAAATCATGCAAAAATCGATGAATTTCGTCATTTAAGTTAATGTTGCACTACTAAGGTACATTCGCGATCACAAACATCTAGAGATACAAATTTTTGTCAAAATCGAACTATTGTTCGCATTTGCGTCCGCCATATTGGATCCGCCATTTTGAATATCCGATTTCAGATTCGGATTCAGCGACCTCAAAAACCATGATTTACCAAATTACAATCGAATCGATGAAGTATAAACATGTTTTTTTTCAAATGCGCACATGTCATGAGACAAAAATGGCACGACTTTTTTCTGCGCATATGTGCGTCACTCACAGTTAAGGGGTTAATAGAAATGATACCAAGGAACATGTATTTGTTCATTGGTCAGCCATTGTTAAGAATAATCCAAGGAAGCCTGTGCGTAGTGTCGAAGATGGCGAGGTTGTCGAATTCGACGTCGTCATCAGGGAAAAGGATCACAAAGCTGCAAACGTCACCAGCGCAACAGGTGAAGCAGTAAAGGGCAGAAGAAAAGACAGAATCACTTTTCGTCCACTCGAAAAATAATTTTACTCGAGTATGTTGAGTGATTGCAAAGTGTTAATTATTTAATTTTAAACTTGATAAGGACCACAACTATATGGTCGACGTTGTAATTTAAATAAATAAAGTTTGCCTAATTTAGTCGATTATTTTTGAAAAATTGATTAACTTGAAATTCAAGCTTAAGAACGTCTTACGAAATCTAAGTACTTACGAAATCTTATCTCTAATATTAGGTAAAGTAAATCTTAGCGGCCTTATGTAAAACGTCAATGTTAACTTGGCGTGTTACTACTCATCTTGAGGCTGTAAGAGATGATATATTATTAATACTAGAAATATAATAACTTGTATATAAAATTAATTAAAATAAAAAAAGTGTAAGTTTTAAAAACATATTCAGTGTGCTCATTATAAAAATAAAAAATATATGTGTGTGGATTATGGGTTTGTGTCGCAAACCCATTTATATTAAGCTTTTTAATATATATCGAAACTAATGTACTGGTATCAAATTGAAATAAATGACTGTATAATTTACTATCTATATTATATTTATAGCCACGAAAGAGAGCAATGCATTCATGTTTGTTCTAAAATTATTAATCATTTACATTTATTTTCTCATTTATTGCACGAAAAAATTTGACTTTAAAAATCTATTTATAAAAAAAAATGTTATAATTTAAATCTCTTAATTTGTATGAATGATTTAACAGTCGCTGAAGATGGTTTAACAATTAGAATCGAAATGTTTAACGTAATAAAAAAATTTATATATGAAGAAAAAATCATTGATGCATTTTTTACCCAGACCAGCTTTCATTTGGCCTACTAATCTTCAATTATTCTGCGATATCAAATCCTTTACAAACATAGTTTACTTACCTCTTCCATATTATTGATAACTGAGTCGTCTTCGAAAGCTCTGTTTACATAATTTACTTGCAGTTCGTCCTCATTGACAAGTGGTGTGAAGACCAAAGGGGTGAAGACATTACGTATGTTCACATACGATATCAACCGAGGTAGATTGTCGAATGTATCACGAATGGTGTTAACTATGTTTCTGATAAATCTTATGATGATCTCAGGGTAACCCAATCTGTTATAATAAAAAATTGTAATAAAATATAAAAAATAATTTCAATAATGAAAATATTTATAACAAATTAAACAACACTTTCTACATTTTACTTAGTAATTATTACAATAATAATTTTGTAAGTTTTTACCAACAATAAATAAAGTTCCTATTTCACTATGCATTTTATCATATACATATATATAACGCGAATATGGCCCGGTATATGTACGTACATATATAAGACTAGTTATTGTTCGTAAAGATTCACAGTAAAATAAATTATGTGTGTGTGTGTGTGTATGTGTGTGTTTGTGTGCGTATTGTATATTTAGTGTAAAAGTTGACACTGATGTTGAAAAAGTATATCTATTTACCAGTATATACAAATTGTACTGTAAAAGTATCTATTTACCTATTACATAAAAAGAGACAAACTAGTATTAAATAAATGATTACTCCAACAATAATCACAACACGATATCTGTAACAGTTACAGGATTGCATGGAAACCTGCATTTTAATCTTATTATTATTCGGAATACCAGCTCTTGCAGCGAATATTGTCATGTTTTCCGTAACATTATGTGTCTCATTAATTGCTTCACATATCGTAGAAACTATAACACAGTTATTAATATTTTAATACGCAAATCAATTTATTTATTAGTAATAAGACTACACACAATTATATAGACAGATTATTAGCAGAACAAGTGAGTATGTTGTATGTACACATTTTTTAACTTTAATATAATATGTAATATTTTTTTCATTTACTTCTTCAATAAATATTTAAGAAAACATAGAATTGTAAGAAAACATGCAAACAATCATTAATTTCCATTTTTTTACCATTCAAATTAAATATATAATTAAATGGAATATTAATATATTATAGTTATATATATATATATATATATATATATATATAATAAATTGTCATCTTACCTGATATTATTGAAATAAAAACAAAAACAGCTGATAAAAATAAATGTGACCAACATAAAATTTGTTTTAAGATTCTCATTAAACTAATGAAATACATCGTAGAAACAAATGTTTAATATAGTCCTAATGAAACTTCAGTAAGATTTGAAATTGAAGTGTTATTTATCCAATTTTTTATATCGGTATAAAAAATATACAATGCTGTATTGATCATCTGCAAAAAAAGATTTTTGTATTTACATGTATGTCTGATAGCTCACAATTAGATTTAAACAAATTAAGAAGATACATTTTTTATTATAATAAATATGAGATTTAAAGAAATATTTATGGTAGCCTGGAAATAATAGAGAAATATAATAAGAATAGATACATAACAACGAAAAAACTGATTTAAAAAATTAGAAAAAATGGAAAAATATAATTTAGGTTGATAAAAATTAAACAGAGAGGTTCATAATATAACATATGTGAAAATTAAAGTGATCAATGAGATGCCGCATCTTTTCGCAAGTTTTATTTAATAATAGATAATTAATATAGCATATATCATTATTCTTTTGTTATTATGGATCGGTTAAAACAAAAATAATAATTGTCAGTATACTTCAAAAGTAATATCGTATTTAGAGAATTAGAAAATCAATAATGTAATTTTTAAACTCTTCGTCGAAATGTCTGAAATACACAAAAAACAAGATGTTTATATCTGCTATCGCTATATACAATAAAATAATAACATAAATGGCAAAAACTTTTCGATACTGCCTTATTTATTTTATCGATAAAACCGTTATTTTTCTCTTGAATTTCTTGAGCATAAATCAATTATTAAAAAGTAAGATTAAAGTCTATAGTATCCTTACACTATCCTTAATATAATTATGATTTTTAATTAATATAACAAATTAATATAATATAAAGATGATCAATTTTATTCCAATGTTGAAATATGTGTTGAACAATTTATCAAGAACACATTAGACACAGAAAAGAACAATACAATTTATGTTAGTTTGGTTAAATCGAAAGATATATATGTAAAAATCCAAATGACCAATGAGACGTAATTTTTTGCAAGTTTTACTTAATACAAATAACGGGTAATTAATTTATGAAAATTAGAAAATCAATAATAAAATAAGCTCTCCATTTAAATACCTGTGAAATTGCGCGAAAGACGATATAATTATACATTTACTATCGATGTTTAGTAGCAGCAACAACATCTATAAATTTAAAATAAAATGAGAAATAAATTTCTAATAATGCTTGTAAAAGTTCTTGTAACACTGAATATCTTGTAAAAATAATTGGTTACATTTCTGATCTTAATATATATGTTCAACAATTGATTTATACATAATAAAAGAGAAAATATAAAATAGCAATAACACAATATCGTGCACTTTAAATATATGTGTATTATTAATATATATGTATATTATTAATATATATATATAAAATCTATATATATATATATATATATATATATATATATAAATAATTTTATTATATCAAAACTTATAATAACTATTATATATTGCAAGAATGAGACTCTGACGAACAACTCAGCGATATATTACTTAAGATATACTACAAGATATATTAATAATTAATTTTATAATACAATATAATTTATCGATCTTACCTGATTGTATTTGAAATGATTGTCTCTGAGAATCGTTATAAATACAACGATGATACTACGACGATGGTGAACGCGCGTATGACTTCTGAATATTATAAACGAAATATTTATAAACTGTTGATCTATTCGCCTGACTTTTGTTGACTTTTGTCGCACGAGATTGTTCTAAACGCTCTTAAATCATTACATATTTAATTTAACAAATCATCATATATTCAATTTACATTTAATAAATAATGTTGAAAACCTTTGTAAATATGTAAAATTAATATTAATAATTTTTATTCCGAAATTAATCAAGTTACTTTCAAATACTTATATATTACTGTCATATATTTATCCGTCTATTATGCGGTTAAAAAAATAAAACACTTAAATTGAAAACATTTTATTACTTTATTTCTTGTAAAAATATATTATATACAACTTATCATTATTTTTATGTACCTACATATTTGGCGTCGAAATATTATCTCCTTTATTGTTTCGGCACTTACAACATTATTTAATTTCTTTTAAAAAAATTAGCAATTACAATTAACATAAAGTAATGCATCACTTTTTAACTAATAAAATTTTAAAAAATGTTTTCTTAACTTAAATGCATATTTGTAGAAAACCGAATGTCTAATGTAAAATAAACTTTTATCGCGCAATGTCATACAAACTCTTGTAAAACAATTTTAACAGTATTTTTTAAGCATTGTACGAAAATACGGAATAAATTATACATACACACATTGTAATTGTTGTATTTTGATTAGAAAAATATTTTAAATACATTCATATATGCACATAAATATGTATATCCATATATGCAAATAAATTTTAAATATTTTATATATTTCAAATTATATATTACTGATATTATGTTGTCTGTATATAATTACTAAACATGCAGTTATAACAGTTCTAAATTTCATTTTATAAACATTGTCGATAAGTGAAACTACTTTTAAAACTACGGAACTAGATGGAATTTTTTTCTATCGACATTGTTAATTATTTCGGTTTATCCAAACAATTTTCCGGCTCGGAAAAAAAAGATAAATTAAAAAATATGAAACCGAACGATAGATGCAAGATGTAAATACGAATTTAACTATTTATGACTTATTTATTATTTAAAATAAACTTTTTATTAATATCAATAAAAAATATGTAAAAACTGTAAATATGCCGATATATACATTTAAAAAAATTTCCACTTTGCATAAATTTTAAATTTTATGTAACAGACTTAAGATCAACAATATATTACATTTTATTTTAACATATATATATATAAATTGTTTTTATTGCTGATCAATAATTAATTTTGTAGTATTATTTTCACAGGTATTTTTTAACAAAAACAAGACTTAATAATTGTTTACCTTTTTAATATATATATTTATAAAAATAATATTATACAGTTTGTTATACAGAAAACATTCGTCAATAATAATACAAATAGCAAAATAAAGTGGTACTTTATAAAAACACATATCCACAAAACGCATAGAAATTTTTCGCAAAATTGTGCTCATTAATCAATTTCAAAGTCGCGCAATCGATACATATACAAATTGATATTCATATAATGTATATTAATCAGTACAGTATATTTAAAAAAATTACAATACGTGTATACTACTAATACAAATTATAAATTTTTTGATATGGTTAAAATGCTAAATATATTTTACGATGTAAGCATAAATATTTTATTTAAATCAAACAAAAAATAAAATTTATTTTTATTTACTAAATGTTAGAAAATGGAAAAGTAGTTTATGACTTGTTTTCTTTTCAAATTTTCATATTTTGAAAAAATAAAACTGTATAATTAAAATATCAATTATAATCTTATTAAATGAAACCGCGTAATAAATAAATAAAATTAAATTACTACGTTTTTTAGCAGCAATTTAACTTTATTTTTTAAATTTATTGTTATTACACAATCTCACTAATTTCCAAACTCACGTATTTTGAAAAAGAACGCGAGCGCATATAAGTATTTACTAAATTATGTTAATTTTTTGTTACAATGACAATCATTTTACCGTAAAGATTTAATTTAATTATAGTTTTCTTACATATCTAAGTCATGTATCTGTAAATATTGTATGATTGATAAATATATGTATAAAGAACAATATTGCAATATTTTAACAACACACAATATTTTAATTATTCGTATCCTGTAAATTAAATAGAATAAAAAATTTTTATGTAAAAATGTTGAAATTATAATCATTTTTCAAGTTAGGAGCGCTCTTGTTATTTAATTATGTGTAATACTATATTTCATATCATAGCATAACCTATTGATATTTAATTATTAATTATTAAAAAGTTTTATGATATAAATGTGATATATTCGATTATTACGAGTATATAAATGATATAAGAAAAATGATGTAATTAATTAATTACTTATAACAATTTTGTAATATATAGTTTTTCTATTTAATCTTTAAGTTAAATCTGGATTTGAAAAACAAAATTTAATTTTTTAAAAGAAAATGATAATTATTTTACTATTGCTCTTTTCCAAATTTTTTAGATTTCGACCAGCGCAAAACCGTGTAATTATAATATTAAAATATAAATAAATTACCATTTTTTAATAGAAATTTATTTTTTTGATATATATTAAATTTACACAAAATATTTTTTATTTATTACAATCACATAATCTCGCCGATTTCGAAATTTATAAATTTTGGAGAAAATTTTGAAATATATATTAATCTTGAAATATAAATTAATTTAATTTCTATAAAATTAAAATAAATAATTTATAACCAATTAGTTAAAATAATTTTAAAAAAAATCATAAATATTGAAAAAAAATTTTCCAAAAAAGAACACTTTGTTCACATTGTCAGATTAACTTAAAATTGAAAAAACAAGATATCTTAATATCGCTAATAAATTATTAACAGGATCACAATTTTATAAATAATCGACCAAACTAGGCAAACTTTGTTTATACAAGTTACGACGTTTCGACCATATGGTTATGGTCCTTAACAAGTACAAAATTTTAATGAAAAGTATAATTAACTTTGCAACCACTCAACATATTCGAGTTAAAAAATTATTAGCATCCTTGTCACACATTAAAAGAAGTGAGAACGTCGTGTCATTATATAACTTCGTCGATAATTTTTTAACTCGAATATGTTGAGTGGTTGCAAAGTTAATTATTTAATTTTATACTTGATAAGGACTACAACTATATAGTCGAACCGTCGTAATTTGAATAAACAAATTTTGGCTAATTTGGTCGATTATTTTTTAAAAACTGATCAACATGAAATTGAGATTCGGGTTTAATAACGTATACTTACGAAATCTCATCTCTAACATTAGGT